GACTCGGAAAGTCCTCACGAGTGACCTCAACCATACTACCATATTGGGAAACTGCTTTTGAAATTCAGTTGTTTGATGGATGGAATCGCCTAGTTCTCTTCAAGTCTTGGTTGGCGACGTCTAACGTCACAGATGTCGGCGTGTTCAGGTCTACGGTTATATGTCTCTGTAGTGACATAGATGTCTAAATATGTTGGATATGAATCAAAGACAACGAGCACAGTGCGGTACTTTGCATGGCGCATCTAACAGTGGCCCGGAGTAGTTCACGAACAGTGAATAGAGTTTTTCAAGAACTCCAGTTTGCATTGCACCATCTCACAGCGATTTTTGGGTCCATCTTTAACTTTCGCAAATCATCAAATTTCATTAAAATATTTACAATCCCATGCCCAAAAACGCCAAAAAACTACAACCGTCCACGCACAGCTTGCCCACCACATCCCAGCATCTCGGCGATGATGCTCGCGCCCTTCTCCCCAATCGCAAACGCCGTGCTATTGACATTCCCGCCAACATTGCTCGGGCAGATGCTCATGTCCACGATCTTCAAGCCGCGCACACCGTACACATCCAAGTTCCCGTCAACTACACCGCCGGCCGCGCGCGGCTTCATGGCACACGTGCCCAGGCTGTGCCACGTCGTCTGCACGGTGTCGCGGATCCACTTCTCGATCGCAGCGTCGTCGGCGGGGTGGTAGACGATGTCCGTGACGGCTTTGGGGTCAAAGGTGGTGGCCGGGCGCGCGGGGCGCTCGTCGGCGACGGCGGCGGAGCCGGCGGGGAACTGTGGGTGCGTGACGGCCATTTCGCCGCGGTAGCTCTGCATTCGCCGCAGCACCTCGCGGCTGCGCTTGTAGGCCCATTTGAGCACGTGCATGTCGATGGGGTTGGACAGGAAGCCAGCGTCGAAGTCGGGGTGCGCGCCGGGGTCGGTGGACGAGATGTGCACGCTGCCGCGCGACACGGGGTAGTTGGCGAAGATGCCGGCAGTGATGTAGTTGTAACGCGGCATGAGCTCTTGGGGGCCCAGGAAGGCGTTGATGTGCACGCTCTCGATGGCGGGTTTGTCGGGGTATGGGACGAACTCGGCGGCGTGGTAGGCGCTGTATTCGGGGCCCAGTGCGGCTGCCTCGGCGACGCTGGGGGTAAGCTTGCCGGCGAACTGCACGAAGTTGTCGGCGTATTTGCCCTTGCCTTGTTTCCAATCGGCCTCGGCCCTGGCCATGACACCTGGTTCGCGGCGGTGGAACTCATCGTGGCTGTCGAAGTCGTCGGCCATCTTGAAAACTGGCAGGATTAAATTGTGGTCCTGGTAGTTTTCGCCGACACCAGGAAGGTCGACTACTGTCTTGATTCCGTGTTTCTTTAGGATTTCGGGCTTGCCAACGCCAGAGCGTTCGAGTATGCCACAGGTCCCAAAAGCACCGCCGCTCAAAACCACGAGCTTTCTTGCACGCACCATCTGGCGCTTTCCATCCGGCTGGCTTGATTTGGGTATATATTCTACTGCTACTGCCTTCCCGTCTTTAATGATCACCTTGTCGACTTGTGTGTCCGTCAGCACATGAAGGTTGGTGCTTTTGCTAGGGTGGAGGTATTTGTGGGCGGAATCTTGCCGGTGGCCAGTCTTCGGGTCGATATATTTTGGCCATGGCATCATGTATGCATTGAGGGTGGTTAGATCGTTGAGATCGTCAACCATCTCGTATCCCATAGTCTTGGTGGCAGTAATGTGATCTTCCGGATATGGTACTGTGGCACCAGCGAGTGATATCTTAAGTGGCCCGCTATCACCATGGACATCTTTTGCTCCTCCTGGCAGGGTGAATGTTTCAAACTAAACCAACACACTATATATTAGCTCTAATTCAATAAGCCTAGTGTTAACGAGTAGAACACAATGAGTGGGTTCTCCATTGGAATTTGGAATTTCAAAAAGTAAGACCCCCCCCCCCCACCAAGGCAACGTGAGGGTATCCAGACTGCAAAAAACCTGATCTGGAGCTATGTTCTCCAAGATTCACAAGGTGTAACCCTCAAGTCTACAAAAGCAAAATTTGCACATACCTTCTTCAAAAACGGCACCATGTTCTTTCCCTCCCAGCCTTTCGTATTCCACGAATCATAGTCCCTAATTCCATAAGCTTCATCCCCACAAAGAAATTGGCAGCGGCTTACGAAAGACATCCTCTTGTGTACATCATGAAATTTACCGAGCTGCCGCCTCCAAGCGTCCGTCCAGCTACTACAGTTGTTGTTCGTCCTCCCAAGTAATCGGACACCTTTCCAGTAAATGTCCTGCTGAATGGGTTTGTCGGCTTTTGATGTTCCAGATACAGACCAGGCCGGACAATAGTTGGTGCGTTGAAGTTTGTTGGGCCGGCCTCGAGTACTAGAATCGAGAGGGAGGGATCGGCCGCGGCCAGGCGACCGGCAATGACACATCCTGCGGTACCACCACCGCAGATTATAACATCAACTTCTGATGGTATCTGAGCTGCTGAAAACCCAGGTTTGTCTGCCGATGATATGTGAGCCATTGTGTGGTTTGAGAAAATGAAGAGGGTAGTGATAGAAGAGAAGGATGGCTATAGGTAAATGAATGGTCAGGCAGGGACGACGCAAGGACAAAAGCGGAGTCTTATATACCAATTATCACAGGAAGCTCTTCCACAGATGATGCTCCTCCGGATCTGCAAAAATTGCCATTTAGGGCGTTAACCGTGGACGCACCTGGTCGGCTGCATGCCTAGCTGTTTTTATATAAACCCTTGAGTCTCAGAACGTTACACTCGCTGTGCATCCACCCATAAGAAATACCATATCCCTATCCCAGCGGCTCACCAGTCCAGATAGGAATAGCACCGCCGCCGCAACCAGTATTATATGCATAATTAGGACTAAATTGTTGAGTTTAACCAGTTCAACTTTTATGTGTTCTAATTACTCTGTCAAACCCGAACGGAAAGCGAATGCAGAGACAGGGTATGAATTTGCTAATAAGTTGTCAGCTTTCTTTTGAATCTCACCGTAGTGAACGGAGTATTCCATGTCGTCCGCGTATTGCGTCTCTATCTAGTCCGCGGAAGTTCGTCTTGATGTAGGAGAACTAAAATGGTTCGTCCCTACCGGACGGGAATGAAGTACATACCACGTTTTAGCTGTCTCACTATCTTAAGCTTCAGTCAGTGAGAATGGATTAGCAGCCATTACTAGTGCCATAGGCTCTATTAATCCATGCTCGCCATGCAAAACCCTGAGACTGAAAAATCCAAGACCTGGTTTAGTACCGTTTTTTATCTCAGAAACCTTCTTGTATACTAGGTACTTCAGATAGATGCCTGTTCACATATCTGCAGGTCGAGGATATGTAGTTAGAAAAAAGATGCCGCTTGTGGAGAAGTGCAGGGAAGTGCCGATGTGTGGATGGATATGTATGCAGGAGACATCAACCAGGCACCCACTCACAACACACCCAAGAGTTTATTCTACCGATGTGCTTGCCGGGTATCTGCACATTACCATGCGAGTATAGTTATGTATCTTAACCTTCTCCTCCGCATGATCTCCACATTGAGTTATTGCACCTATCGTAAAGAGCCTGGCCTTTATAATGCTACACAGCGTTGAATACTGAAACATGTGCAAGTAATCCGTATGACCGAGATTTGGTTGACATCCATGGCAATCGATCAGTTCATAATTGCGCCCCAACAAACGTGTCTGCTTAGACCATGTCTTCATTATGAAAAGTAAGCATTCATATTGAAGAGTTCTGTTACCTTTTGATGATTTCTGTAGGCTTATGTAGCTGTTCATATGACGCCTTTGTGGCTCAACCCACTTTTAGAAACACAGGTTGCATCCTCTTCATTAAGTCAGTCAGCGACATCAAGTTCGGTCCAGGATTAATTAACCTGTCATTTTTATGTTTAGTAACTATTGTTTCACGACCGCGACCGCGAATATGGAACTGTCAGTCCAGTATAGTTATCCAACCTGTCGGAAAATACTAATTGTTTGTTCGAATAAGTAAGTCGAAGCAGTCAAGAGTCCCCATATTTGGATATATATTAGAGTCGTTCAGCCCGGGTGAAAATATTATCTTGTTAACTGAATATTTGTAAAACTTGGCATGCAGCTACTACAGTCTACCCTACTCCCTACGTTAATCTTTTTACTGAAAAGATTATCTTTTTACCCGGGGCTGAACGATTCTAATGGGAAATCTCACCACAGCCTCAAGCTTTTCATCTTTAGATAGATCTACCTCAATGTCTTCTGATCCACATCAACTTCGCTGTACATTCATAAGTGCGCCTAATTGGCAGTGAGAGTATGTTCTTATGCAAGTACTGGCATTTAATTATGTCTGCTACCGGCCGACAACTCGGATTGGCGTATCTACGCGCCCTTCTTTTGCTGACTTTTCTCCATAAGGATAAATCAGATCACCAGTTCATTCAGCTAGCTTGTGCGCATTACTAGAGAACGATCAGCAATTACATATCGAATTAAAAGATCAATAGGAGAGATCTGAGTGGTCCCCATATTGCATCGTATCCCAGTACATAATTGAAATAAGCTAAGCTTGACTTATGAGCTTTTTATATCAACTCAGTAATTGTTGAGCGGCTGTTGCATAGTTGTTTACACGTCACCCTGTGCTTGCACTTCGAAGTTGGTCTAAGAAACTAAGAGCAGCAGCGTTAGAAGAGATCAGCACGCGCCAGGCCTAACTCTCAGGAGTGCGCAAAGCGGCCACGCCAAGGCGGATCGCAAGCCGTTCAACAGGCTAGCGAAAAGTACTTCTCACATATTTGCAAGTACGAAGTGGAATAGCTGGTAATCAAGTGTAAAAATCATATTATATCCATGAAAATCGGGTTGTATATGGGTTGTTACGTAACTTTGATCTTCCTTGAACTCTCGACCAGATTTCTTTCGTTCAGACTTTGATTTTATTATTGCTAACGTGCATCCTTCCTTCATCGTTGGCCCTGTTGGTCTAGTCGTATGATACCTGCTTTGGGACACACAGTGTAAAACTGCAGGTGGTCCTCGGTTCAATTCCGGGACAGGGCCCTCTTTTTACTTTTTTTTGCCAGTCTCTCATTATTTTTACCGTTATCTTTTTAGACAATGATCTACCCTTGATGAGAACAAGGTTCGCGTGGTGGGGTCAAAACTAGCCTGCCAGCAATTATGCACGTGGCTACAAGGGATACGATACAATACAGTGCACGTCGTCCGTCTAATTTCATGAAGAATGGCAAAGGTTGTAGGTAATGAAAAGAACGAAGCATGTGAAGAAGCGGTAGACGATTTTGCACACTATATCACTCAGAAAACACGAGAATATGGTGAAAGATGTCCAGATACGCAATATTATCTTCATCTTACATTGGCAATCCAAGAACTCTAGTAAATTCGATATTCAACTTCTGCTTCTTTTTCTCCTCTCATGTGGTTTACGAGGTACAGGTAAATTTTTCTTTAAGGTTCAGAGAACGTAATGGTACTAATAGATGGACAAGTACGAGTACGTAGAGTCTATCTCTATCAAACCACACTAAGACTTTCCTAGTTTCACAAAGCCAGAGTCATGTCAGCATGCCCTTAACCGCATGTATTATTATGATGATAATGGCCGCCTGATCGATCTTCCCTCCCGGAAGTCAATCTACCAATCAATTCACCGTTAACTCTTTTCTTACCTTTTTGAAGGTTACAAGTACAAGTCTTTATACTGCATTTGACATGATCTATGCAGGTTTCCACCGTTATTAATTCACTCAAAACCAATCGAACGGCCATAGAACATCCCAACAGTCTTTTCGATATCACTTCGACAATATCTCAAGTTACTCAAGCAGGCCCTCCACTACGCACCTCCGAGACATTTTTACGGAAACCCCCTTCCTTCAAAAGCCGGATAAAAGGAGCCGTGCAAGTTCTCGACCGCCTGTGATTGGCGATCTGGTGCACATAGCTATAGCGCGTCAAACTAGGGCGGGCGCCGCTAATTACGCGCAGGCCCAGCTGCATAGACGAGGCGCGACCGGCAAGGCCGCCCCCGCTGGCTGGCCCCACGTTTGAACGGAGTCCTCGGAGATCAAGGTTCTGCAGATACTAATTTGGGTGTGTGGGTATCACTGGTCTTACGTACATAAGTAGTATGTAAACATAGAACCTTGTTAGCACTAGAGCACGGGAATTCACTACAACTCGAATCAAACACAGGTCTTTTCATTATTCCAACACTTCAATATGGAGACGAAAAGCAGTTATATATAAACTACATGCATGCGAGCCCTGTAACCGAAAAACCAAAACACCGATTTCAAAATGCAGAGCCTGCTAAGATCATAATAACTCCAAAAAAAAAGGTATGCCACCCAAATGTGCACGTATCTGATGCCTGTAGCATGCTTTTCTTCGATCATCAATTGTTGGCCATATACACAATTATCAGCTTTCCCTCGATCACATGTACAATGTTTCCCGTCCAATCATCCAGCCCTATATCAATTCCATCCAGTCATCCACAAAAAGTGCCACCTGTGGCAAAGGAAGAAACATTTATTGAAACATGTGAAAAATCCAAGAAAGAAATAAGGCATTAAGTTATAATCGCCGAAACCCCCGTTTTCCCGCCATAAACTCCGGTTGCTATCGAAACAAAGCAAAAAAGAAAACAGACCAAAGAGATAGAATAGTAGTCTAGGAAAACACCAAGGATGGCAAACTTAGTGTTTTCCTATACTTGAGTAATGGTACAGGGTAAGACATGGGAAAGATAATTACAAGTCGCTTTGAAAGATTTACTATTCGTTGATGCTCGCAACCCAAACACGCCCGAGGTATCATCCTCCCCCACCACTCCTACCGATACCGGCACCTTAATGGGCACCGACACCAGTAGCTTCTACACCCTCGTTTATCCCCGACTCTTCCGTAGTCGGGGGAGTCGGAGGTTGCCCGATGGTTCCAGAAATGACCTTTGCAAGTCGTTTTTGGTCTGAGGGTGAGAGCATTGGCGCCGGTGTTTTCTGGCGTTTTATCCAGTCCGCGGACTCATCCCCAATCTCTTCCCGCTTTCGCTTTGGGCTTTGGGAGAGGGGAACAGGTTCCTCTTCGCCCGCTTGCTTGGGACTAGGAGACCCTTCTCCTGCTCCTAATGGAGACTGAGCGGTCAGAGAGCCAACACTCTCTATTGGAGCTGGTGGAGCGATTTCAGGGGTGGCTAACGAATTGCTGGCCTTAGGTTGGGAGATCCTCTTCCCCATCTTCCGAAGAAGGGAGCTCATGTAATCCTCAATGAATTTTTTGATACGATCAAGGCTTGGTCGCTCGTACATCTTAGTACGTACCTTCTTGATGTCAGTCTTGTGGTCGTACTTCTGCGACCTCATAGTCTTGCCAAAAAGGGTTTCAACAATCTGTTATCTGTTAAAAATGAGAATATAATTACAGGTATAGTCATGGTTACCTCGTTGTTCCGCTTCTTGGTCTCAGCTACACCGCCTAAATCATCTTGGTATCGGACCACATATCTACTGCAGATATCTCTCAACTGTTCGAAGGTTAGTTGGATTTTATGTATAGTGTATGTGTCCAAACGTACATATTTCTTGACCTGTGACTCTACATGGTCTTTCTTCTTGTTTATCTCGTAGGCTTTTCTCTGCCGAGCCATCTCCTTTTTGCGAGTTTTCTCTTCCTCCTCTCGGCGCTGAGCTTCCTCTTCATCTCGTCTCTTTTGCTCAAGGCGTTCCTGTTCCTTTTCCCTGGCAACCTGTATACAAAGTTTACGGAGCTGTTCAGCATCCTCTTTGTTCTGCTGGGCTCGTTTATGGGCCTCAAGGTTTTCAGGAAGGGGCTCTCGCTCCAGCGGGATATACTCGTAGTCCGGAGGCGGGGGAATTCTTTTCAGACGTTGTCGAGCTTCGCAAGGACCAGATGGTTTATACCAGGTTACTTGTCCTTCATTGGAGTAATAGTACTGTTGACCACTATTATTGCACCTTGCTTTGTGCCACCCCCACGGAAGTTCTCGTGGTGGACGCTTAGGAGGACCTCGATTCTGCTTTATCTGGTTGATGAAACCTTTTGGGCCTGTGGGTGGTGCTCGTTCAGGAGATTTGCTCTTGGATCTTGAAGCCCGTTGTCGATCATTGTAAACATATTCAACTGGTCCAGCACCACCAACTCGCCGGGGAATTCTAAAGGCCGTTTCTAATTCATTCCACATGCTGAGTAATGCAGCAGAATCCTGCCGAACTTTTTCGTTCTCCGACTTTGCGAGTTCTTGGACAGTGGGCTCGATCTTCGAGGAGGTGATTTTGTTCTTGGTGATCCTTGGGAACTTCGCCATGATATTAAGCGCCATCAGAACTATATCATCATCTTGCTTGTACTCATGCAAGATTCTTCCCAGAATTTGATATCCGTGGAATCGGACAACACGGGGGGGGACTGCTACATCTGTGCTCTGCTCGATTCGAGATAGCAGTTTGTGTATGATCCAGCGTTCTTTGCAGTGCAACAGTGTTGACATAACCTTGGTAACATCCTTTTCTCCCAGGTGAATTGATGGAATATTCTCGGTATAGTCCTCGTCAGGTTCGCCTGTTTTTCTTGCCTTCCGAGGCTTCTTTCCAGAGAAGACCTCATCACCGTCGAGACCCAAAGCCTCAATGACGTGATGCGACAGTCGAGTTCCAGCATTCGTCTGGGTTTTTCCTCCAATATATCCCACACAGTTGGCCTCTCCGCAATAACACTCTTGAGGATCCGCACCATAACGGTCCACGTTGTAGTCAAAGACTAATTCTTCTCCTTCCTTGATATCACGCTTGGCAAATATTCCCATTCGCAACTTATCACCAACCACCCATTTGTCGACGTAACAATTGGGATTGCAGGAGTGATTACAGAACCGGCCGAGTCCGCCCTTTTTGGTGGCATCGATGAATTCTCCAGATTTCAAGGACATGAAGTAAAAGTGTTTTATGCCCTGTTTGTCATAGCTTTCCATGCGTTTAGAAAATCGTTGTTCATCGATAACTTCTCCGACGTATTCGTAAATAAAGTCATTCGCAGCCAGATAGGTATTTGCCCTCAGGCCGTATCCTTTCTTGTGAGCTTTGATTACTGAAACGTTGGCATATTCCCGACGCTGGAAACGCATATTTTGGCAAGCTTCTCCACAGCCACAGTCCACTTCGACACACTCCATTCGCGTTGCACGATTTATGCAGTCTGAATCTTCCCCACAGGCTGCATTTATCTTACCATCTAGATTCCATAGTTAGGACAAAAAGTCAAATATAGGATTAGAACAAGAACTTACTCCATTCTGCACGACATTCACATGTCATGATTTCCCCATCTTGATCTGCATCTGCCATGCTCTTTTTAAAGTAGATGCATGCATCAATCACTTCAAACAGCTTTTTGGCTTCTTCAGTAGCTTCAACGCCCTCTATTGAAACCGTAGTACCTTTTCCTTCTTTAACAACCAAAGTTGATGAAGGGGATGACTCTTCAGTTTTAACAAGGTTATCCTTGGCATCGGCACTGGTCGCTGGCGAGGCTTCGGATTTATATTCAGGAGTCATTGACTCCTCCTTGAGGGATTTTGCTGAAGAGACGTCCTCCTTCTCGAGCAGAGATTCAGAAAGGGTTACACCGTCCATTGGTTGAAACTGATCCATTGGGGGTGTGGTAGAGATGGAAGGTTCAGACGACCTGATATTTTCCATTTTAACGTCAGTTTCGGGCGATGGCGCCAAGCTGAGTCCAGTTATAGACTGTATGGGCTGGTCCGTTTCCGCCGAGTCAGAGGGGGCCTTCGCATCTGTCGTACTCGAATTCGACATTTTGATGGTGCGATGGTACAGTGGTCGTTAGGTTTCGATGAGGCTTACTTTACTCCTCCACTGATTTCCCAGGACAACGTGGCGCGATTGGTAGCTCCACAACTGTGGTATTAAAGGTGAATCGCCGACTCCTATGAGGATAGCGAAACAAATACTAATGTAGTGTTCCGGCGCACGCTAGTTTCCGGGGCGAAGCGCAAA